GACAAATTGAGATGACGGTCGTCATCTTCCCCCACCCCTCTCCCCCCCCCCCTCCTCCCCTCTAAGGCCTTCGCTTTTCAGATACACTGATTTCTTAGCACGTATGTGCTAAAGGGACGGAAGGGGGGTGTCATCCTCAGTTGGGTTTTATTCCTCCTTATCGAGTGCCAGCCCCCCATGGCTGAGGGGCCCTGCCTGCGCCGGCTGAGCAGTGGCCCCGGGTGCCGTACCGAAGGGTGTCCCTACTGAAAGGGTGAGGATTTCACCAGACAAACCTCCCCCCGACCCTGCTTTCTGGGAAGGTATTTGAAGGGCCAAAAGGCAGCTTGGTCTCACTGGGGTTACCCCAGGCACCCCCCAGCTGAGCTCTTCCGCTTGTGTCACACTCAAAATTTCCTCATGTGGGCTATATAGTAACAATATGCTTGTGTCAACATATAGAAATTGCTCTCCTCCCACCGGCCTCCAAGGACCTTAGGTGGCAGACAGGCTGGAGGTCCAGGCCGGCAGATTCCTGGGGCTCACCACGGGCTGGAGGAAGGGGAAAAAGCAACCGAAGAAAGAAAAGGCCATATTATCATTCGAAAGCAGGTATTCCAGTGCTGTGCCACAGGCTCCCACTGACACAGGCAAAGCGTTGGCTCTATAGAGGCACCTGCTGGCTGAGGGAAACACACAAAACACACACACAAAAAAAATCTTTGCTTTCGATAGATCTTAGACCTGTTCCTCCCTTTGTTTATTTTTAAAGATTTTGTGCTGTACGTGGGGATGTCACCCGGGTCACACTGATCCCGACGAAGGCTGGGAGATGAGTGACGGGTCTGTCTTAGCAAGAAGTGATTCCAGCTCTTGCCCGGCCCCTCTGCTGCTCCAGCTGCAGGCTTGCACCTCGCACCCCTGGTGCCCACCGCCTTCCTTCTGGGCAAGGGGAAAAAGCCAGCCTAGACGAAAGCCTGGAGGAGAATATAATCCCTTTCCCCTCAGGGATCACGTTTCTACAGAGGAATGGTGGGTGTTGTTCAAATATTGCAAAAGAATCCCGTTTTCTTTGCGCTCTCTGATGTTTTTTTAACTGATTGTTGCAGAGGGTTTCTGAAGAAAGGAATATTCATCCAAAATAACTGGAGTTTCCCGTATCCAGAATGCAATTGCCAAAAATGTCCTCCAAGAGATAGGGAGACTTCAAGCCCCACCCT